CCACTTCCGTAAATAGCTTGCCTCTGGAAACCCTGTGAACCTGGAGAAAGGACGAAAGTCATGCAAGTGTTGAAGACTTTCGTTCATAGGGTCGCTATGAGTTGCCTACAACTCATGGCACTTAACAACAACACTGTAAAAAGCTAGGAAATGGATTACAGACAGAATCAACCTTAGAAAGTTAACTGGGATGAAAAGCATCCTTTTTTTAAAAAAAAAGCATCCTTTTTTTAAAAAAGGAAATTTTGTAAAGTATGTAAAAAATTATGTAAAGTACATGAAAAAGATACTATCTCTCTCTCTACACACACACACACACACACACACACACACACGCGCATCGTATCTTCATACCTTTTCAACCTATATGCAGAACAGATTATCTGGGAGGCTGGGCTCTATGAGGAAAAATGGGTCAAGATGGGGGGACGATCTATCAACAGTCTGCGTTATGCAGATGACACAACCCTGTTTGCTGAAACTGAGGAGGGCACATACATATACACACACATACACTCACACACACACACACACACATATACACACACACCACACACACACACACACACACACGTATGTATGTTAAGGGAGCCCTGGTGGCATAGTCCGTAGAGAGTTGCTGCACCACTAACACAGAGCCCATGGCTCTCTGGTGATTCAAATCCACTAGTTGCTTGAGGGAGAAAGATAGGTAATCTCCTCCTGAATTTAAGCGCTTTGGAAAGTCAGCTCACTAAAAGGTCAACAACGAATGGGTTATAACTTGACAGCAGTGAGTTTGTTATTTGACATATGCATTTGAAGTAAAAAGATTACAGCTCCTTAGTATTTTCGCCTCTATTGTATGTCTATAAATTGAACAAGTACACTCAGGGGAAAATATAAAGAAAAAGTAAGTGTAGACTTTAAAGGACATTAACTTGCTTGAGAGAAGTTTCAGACTTTAAAATTAGCATGGATGGAGAGACCTTTTCCATCACTGACTCTTTAAGATCCAAGTTATTGAGAAAAATAAAATAATTCTAGTACTCCATAAAAAATATCGTTTAGAAGAACTTGATTCTGAAATGCACTCCTTACAACTGGGTAATAGAGCTTTACAGAAAACACCAGAAATTCTTCCATTCCTACATCTCTGGTTCAAAATCTCATGTGAACCTATACAAAGTTATTGTGGCAGTTCATGATTTATTCTTTGTCAACATAATGATTTAAATGTGTAAAATCTTTTGTATTACTTAGTGTCCACATTTTTTACGTGTCTGTGTTGTTGTTAAATGCCATAGAATTGAGTATGACTCCTAGCGGCCTTATGAACAATAGATCTGAAGTTTGTCCCATCCAGTGCCATCCCCCTCATCTCTGACACACTTGA